GTGATTGTGCCAGTAAAACCTGCTTTCCTAGAGGTTTCTCTTTAAATCCAAAACTCACTCCACTCATAATTGCCACAAGTGGGATGGTTTTTTCAAGATTGTTTGCATGACAATCAGNACCTGTAAATATTCATAAGACGTTCATTCGTGATTCCAACATTACCTTTGTCTATGGTTTATATCAAAATACTTGCACTTGTAGTTGATAAAGCCCTTGGAGTGAATATTTTGAAATAAGACATTCCAATACATTCCTGGATGACTTCGAATCCACCTTTATAGCAAAAAATTGGTAGTAGTAGTCTTTATCCCGATGTAAGTTTCATTGGTTGATTGGAGGAGAAATCGCATTGAGTGAAAAGAGTAACTGGGATGGCTCCAAAATTTCCTTCTCATCTGGAAACACTACTTCACACTCCCTTGTGCAAGTTGCTTTCATTTCGAGTTACCGCCATGATAGGAAACCAAACAACCAAGCACATCTACCCCTCGAAATGCTACTGTATTCAAATTTAGACCATTTTAATGTTAGTGATGATCCAGAGAGAGATGTCTAAATCCGCTCTACTCTTTCTACTTTTGCCACCTACTACTACTTTCAGTAATAGCGATAGAGCTACCAAAGTAACTGCGAAAATTACTCTGCACCAGTGGGCGTCTGGGTGAGGCATGAGGCCACAATTGCACGTGCACACCTCATTTACATGCGACGTCTTCATACTGCTGCTCAATGAACTGCACAAGGTCGCAATGCCTGAAGAGAGGAGTAACCTGTGCAGTCAGACTAGGACAAAGTTGGGTGCCTGCTACTTGACGCGGAGTGAGCATGTGCCACCGTGAGCACAGAGACCTCTCCACCAACCACTAATCAATTGTCACTGCATGGCGTTATGAAACCTCACTTGTGCTATAGTGATTGTGCCAGTAAAACCTGCTTTCCTAGAGGTTTCTCTTTAAATCCAAAACTCACTCCACTCATAATTGCCACAAGTGGGATGGTTTTTTCAAGATTGTTTGCATGACAATCAGTGCAACTACGTTAAGCGCCATTGCATTGACTTCATTACTGTGATATAGCAAATGTCTTTGTTCACTCATGTTAGTTGAATGATTTTAACTCAATGTCTTGAATTGTTCATCAAATTTGTCTGATAAATGTCTAAACACTGGCCAACGTAAGGCCACTTGTGGTCTGTGAAGAAGTCGATTACTTGATGAGAAGACGAGTTTCACTAATTTGATGACAGTTATTGATTGTTAGTGTGAAAAATGAGGAAAGAGGGCTATTGAATTGGCTCCACAAAAATTCAAGTTGGTGAAGAGAGGAGACTGCAAATGTCAGTTCCCCTTGAGGTGTCGCTCAGTGGAGTTCAATAATGGGTCACTCGACAGCTTACCGATTTCACAGACATGATGCTTACCTTTCCAAGCGTGTGAATCGAACCTGCCGAGGAAGACAATTCTTTACTCAGTCAAATAGTGTACGGTTTGCGTCACATTATAGTTAAGAAGTATGTGCGTAGGTGGAATAATTGGATTGTTTGAATACTTAAAATTCGAATTGAGACTGCAAACAACATATACTTCCTAGTGATTCCCTCAATGGTTTCAATCACATGTGATGCATGAACAGCGATGAGTCTTCATTCAATGCCAGGGACTATCTTTAAAGTGTGACGAGCCCAAATTTAAATTTCGATCATTTCAATTTCATTGATGATCCCGAGAGAAGTCTACATTCAATTCACACTTCCATTCCACGACATTTTGCCCTGTACAAAGCAGATAAATCAAATAGCAAAAGTACTGTTTGACAGAGTATATTTCAATAAGTTCGGTTAATTGCACACAACATATTGTTGATTAGTAAGAAATGTAGTCTTTGCCTCGACATTGAGTTTTTATAAAAAGGGACAAATAGTATTCGGCAATGGTATGTTGAACCTGCGTAGCAGTGCTATTATAACTAAAATTACATTTTCCATCAGAATGATAACTCCGAGAATTGCAGCAAATGTGATCCAGGTTTTGCATGAACAGTAACCTGAAAAGTAACACATAAAAACCTGATCAACAAAAGCGACTAAAAGTACTGAAAAACGATGGAGATTGTGAAATAATGTGACACAGAGGTAGACTATGCCCCACCAACTTATTGCTAAGCCCAGGTGTTGTCGAAAAACAGAGTCTTCCTTATTGTCTTGCTCCAAAGAACTCTTCAGTTGATCTCTCTCCACCCCTTTCCCTTTTATCCGCCCTCCCCCACACACCCCACCTTCGTTCTTCCAATCTGTCAGTCCACGTTCGGAATATCAAATCAAATTGTGGCCAGGGGACCCAAGCCAGAACATCCAATTCTACGCCTATCTTTTCAAGTGGCAATGAATTCTACTCAAAATAATGGTCCCTCTTTCCAGATGCCAAATATTTTGTGGTGAAAAAAAGATTGCATCTTTAAATTTTTCTTGAGAAGAATTTCTTGAATAGAGGCCTTTACCCATAATTTCTGCTCAATTCAATTAATATGTTGGAATTATGATGACAAAATTAGATTTAAGAACCTACCTTTGTAAGCATACCGAATTGCAACTGATTTTGAAATATTTCCTTGTATTGTCTCGCTTCCTTCGCATGGTGTATAGGTGGCCCTGACAGTCGCCTTCAAAGTTCCATTATGAAATGGAATTACCGCTGCACACTCCGTTTTTTCAAGTTGAACCCATTGTGCTCCATTCTTTGTGTAATTGACCAAATAGTGAATGGCTTGTGGTCCTGGAGAGTTAACAGCATCCCATGTAAGGTGTGCCCACTTGTCCCAAATTTGCTGCAGTTGGACATTTTGTGGAGTAGCAATGTTGGCTATTGAAAGGGAGAAGACACATATGCACATTGAAAGGGAGAAGACACATATGCACTTTCACAATTTTACCTAGAAGACACATATGCACTTTCACAATTTTACCTAAGTAATTCCAGCAATTTGGTTTTTTTACATATGCCCAAAACACTTATCTCTTCGAGTCTTTGAAAATTCGAATATTCGAACACTTAAAAAGGAACGTGTTTGGGTGAAATTTCGGTCACAACCGATTATTTCTGAGCAACTTTACTTGTTCACTAATTGAGATCATTGCAAAACGTTTGAGTTAATTGTTTTGTGCATCGCTTGGAAAACGCGCCACCCGTGTGAACACCGTTCAGTTTGGATTATTTGTTTAAC